AGAGGCAAAAGACAGTCCCTGCCTTCAAGTAGCTCACAATTTAACGGGAGAAAAAACATACAAACAAATCTATACAAAACAAGCAATATACATAAAATAAGAAATACTTAAAAGAAAGAAGGCACTGGAATTAAGAGGGTTTGGGAAAGGCTTCCTGCAGAAGATCGGATTTTAGTTGAGAATTAAAGGAAGCCAGGGAGGTGAGTAGTGGGGGTGCATGAGGGACAGCTTTCTAGGTATAGGGAATAACTAGAGAAAATGCCCAGAGCTGAAAGTAGGAGTGTCTTGTTTGTGGAACAGCCAGGTGGCAAGTGTCACACGGCCAAAGAGCACGCATCTGGGAGCACTGATGTTGTATGAGTCTTTGTCTCAGCCACCAGTGGGCTGGGTCTCAGTCACTCCCAAAGGTCATTCCTTGCTTACTGGGGAATTGACGCTGGGCTGGCCAGCCTCAAACGCTGGATCCTGGGACCTGAGTCATCAAGACACCAGGAAGCCTGGAGGCCCATCTGACCTTTTGAAACTCTCATCTTTTCATCTAAAAGAGAAAAGAACAAACATTGAGGCCACATGCCCTTTTTCCCAGGGTTGTATGTCAGCCTGGGTCAGGAGAAGGTCCAAGGCCTCTCTCATTGTAGCTATGTTTCTCACCAGACACCGCCAGAGGAGTGAAATGAAGATTGAGCAGCCAAAGGGGAATGTGACTGAATAACAAGAGGCCGAGTCTCTGGTTGCCAGTGCCTTTTTGAAGCTGGTCAATGAAAAAGGTGGGTTTTGTTGTTCAGTTGTGTCTGACTCTTTGTGACCCCATTTGGGGTTTTCTTGGCAGAGCTATTGAAGTGGGTTGCCATTTCCTTCTCTAGCTCATTTTACAGATAAGGAAACCGAAGCAAGCAGGGTGAAGTAAATTGCCCAGGGTCACGCAGCGAGAAAGTCCAAGGCTGAATTTGAACTTGGGGATAAGTCTTCCTGATTTCAAGGCCACTGCTCTCTCCACCGCCCCACCTCGATGCCCCAACCAGGTGATTGGCAGAAGTACCTTGGAGAGAGGAAAGCATACACCAGTATTCTGCAACTGGTTACAGTCTGTTTATTCTCCCCAAGGTGCAGAATCCCCTGCATCTCTCCCATGGGGGAGACATTATCAAAGGTTCTCTGCTCATGTTCTAGCTTTTGTTACACATATAATATCTCATTTGTTCTTGGTGAGATAGATGCTATTATTATCCGTGTTTTCCAGAGGAGAAGAACTCAGGCTGAGATGACTTACTTAGTGTCACCCAGCAGGTAAGTGGCTGATTTGAACTCAAGACTCCCTGACTCCAAGTCTAGGGTTCTGTCCACATACCACCTAGCTATCTCTTTCTTTTTTTTTTGATGGTGGGGAATCATTCAGGGCTTTTGAGGCTGGGGATTATGCTGACTCCTGGGGATTAACCTCTACAAAAAGGCAGATAAAATGATGGGCAATTCAAAAGGCCCTTAATGTTGGTTTTGGAAATCAGAACCACACATGTGAAGCCTCCCTATATCAACTCTGTGCTCCATTTTCCTGTTGGCAGCGTAGGACCCAAATGAGCAGCAGAGGTGAGGAGATCATGGATCATGCACTAAATAGATAATCCCTGGTAATTAAGTTACCCTCACATGTATTTGTCTGTGGACATGGACCGTTCTCTTTACCACCTGCTGTGATTATTTTCTCTTTTTCTTTCTATTGTTTGTGTTATGTGGGCCCTTGCACTATGACATCTGGGCTGGAAAAGACAATGACTGCTATTTTTCTTAAGGGTTTCTATGAAACCAATCTTGCAAATACTTCCCAAATATTAGGTAAGGTCTGCAAAAATGTGGCCACAGACGAACCTCCCCAGGATACGCTTGATCTAAGCAAATCTCACTTGCTTAGAAGTCCCAACCTGCAGTGTGGGGCCAGTGGCCTTGGGATCTGAAGGGCAAAATGCAATCTGCCAGGCACTTTCTGCACTTTGTTGGATGATGCAAAAATTCTATTTTCCCCCAGTAAGTTCAAACACTGCCCTCCACATTTAGACTCCCCTAGCTACTTGTTTACTCCCTACCCCCAGGGTGGGGGTGGGGTAGGGTGGTGGTGTGAATAAACAAGTTTTACCCTCCCATCACCAGGGGGTGAATGAATAAGACTTTTCCTGCAGCAGAGAATGTTGACTTCTACCAGAAACACAGATGTTTTTTGGGGAAACAAAATGAATACGGGAAATAAGCAGTGGTAGTTTGATACAGAGATTTTTCTGCCTAAGGCATTTGGGCTTGTAAAAATTATTTTTATGGCTGATAAATGGCCACTAAAGTTGCTGACTAACGGCAGTTTTGAAATAACCTTTCTTTTTCTTTAGTGGGTGTTGGAGGGGTCTTTATGGTTTTCCCAAATCACATCTTCCCACTAGGTTCATGGACCAGGTACAGACAATTGACCAAGGCTCCTGGATGTCCACCCTTCTCACTTCAACCCTTGGGTTAGGTCATCTATGTTTTCAGACTGGTTAAAAAAAAATCTGTCCCTGCAGGCTCACAGATGCTCCTGGTTCCCCCCCTGACTCCACACTGAGCATCATTATCTCTGCAGAGCTTCTGTCTCTATGGTAATAACAGATGGGAAGTGCTACAGAATTATTCATGCTAGGGAAAGGAGACAGTCCAGAAAGGGGGGGGGGGAAAGCAGCCTTCCCTGGGGGAAAGAGAGGGTCAGTAACTGGGGAGGACAATAGTTGGGGGAGATGGGGGTGAAACTTTGGAACAGAAGTGGGAGCTGAGCAAAGAGGAGGGGGAGGAGCTGGAATGGAGGAAAGAGAAGAATCTTTGTCCCTGTTGTGTCTCAGCCATCCGGGAGAACCACTGGCCCTATTTAAATGGAGAGATGTTAGGGAGTGTCTAGTAGAATACACCAAATGATAGAACTCGTAACAATAAAATAAGGGTCCAACAGGGACAGAAAATTCAGGGACCCCTGAACAACACAGATGAAAAGTCTGAACCAAATGAGTACTGGGTGCTTTAGTGCTGGGTGGGGACAGTTTCAATTCCTTATTTTCAGGCTGTGGTGGAGTAAAATGAATCTTGTCTTGGTCCATCAATACTACTCAACAACTTGAGAAGTAATTTTGGCTTTTTTAAAAGTAAGTATTCAATTTTCTTGAAACGTGATTACTCATCCTCCCTTGAACAAGAGAAACGTTTTTAAAATGGGTTTGTTGTTCAGTCTTATCTGACTCTTTGTGACCCATTTGGGGATTGCTTGGCAGAGGTGCTGGAACAGTTTGGTATTTCATTTCCCAGCTCATTTTACAAATGAGGAAACTGAGGCAGACAGGGGTTAAAGAGATTTGCCCAGGGTCACACAGCTAGTAAGTGTCTGAGATCAGATTTGAACTTCCTGGCATTACCCACCTAATTATTTAATAGCTAACATTTACACTCTGGTTCACAATTATTATCTTACTTGATCCCCACACAACAACCCTGGGAAGTAGGTGCTTTTATTATAACCCCTTTTACAGATGAGGAAACTGAAGCAAAGAGATTTGGTGACTTGCCTAGGATCACACTGCTAGTAAGTGTGAGGGGTTGGATTTGAACTCAGGCCTTCCCCACTCGGGATCCAGAGCTCTAATCACTGAGCCACCTAGCGAATATACTTTTCCTGACCTTTATTCTTTCCTCTTTCCCACCCACAGTTTTCTATTTCCAAAGAGACCTTTTAGCCACAATAAAGTAGTTTTATCAAACAAAGTTTATATAAGCCACCTCTCTGCCTCAGGCGCTGGGTTAGGTGCCAGGCTTTGATGAACAAAAACAAAAACAGAACCAGAAATGGTCTCCCCCTTCAGGGAGCTTACATACTACTGGGTGGAGTTGGAGAAGATGATAAACATGGAGTAGTGCAAAGAAACTGGATTTGGAGGCATTTGGAGGAATCCCGGTTAGAATCCTTACTTACTGTGAGCATGGACAAATCACTTTGCTTCTCTGGAACCCAATTTCTCAGCTCCAAAATGAAGACTAGTCATTCATTCAGCCAAGGAGCATTTATTAAATGATTACTGTGTGGTAGGCACTGTGCTAAATTCTGGGGTTAAATAAGAAGCACAAAGAAAAAGTTCCTGCCCTTAAGGAGTTTCCATTTTAATGGGTTTTGTTTGGCTTTTTTGGGGGGGGGGAGCCCTAGTGTTTAGCACAGTTCCTGGCAAACAGTAAGCGCTTAATTAATACTTGTTGATTGACTGAAAAGGAAGATAACACATAAAAAGAAGGTTCCGACTTACAGCTCCAAATCCTATGAAAAATGTGTATGGCTGGCTAAGTAGCTAAGGTAATTTGAGAAGGGAGAACTATAATCATAGCTGATATTTACATAGGAATTTACCAAGTGGCCTCACATGATCCTCACAACACCCCTCTGAGGGCGGTAGGACATGTTCATGGGATCATGGAGTTACTGCTGGTTTTGGTCATCTTTTTGTGGACTGGCAATATTTATCCAGTAACAGGAGGGCACTTAGGTACAGGGCAGTTGCATGACAAGGAGGCAAGCAAGAATTTCTTCAGAGCCCGCCATGGGCCAGACAGACCTTGGTCCAGGCGCGGGGGATACAAGGTCACACGAAGGCCCCGCTTCTTTGGACGCACTCACACCCCTTACACTCTATTTACATCAGAGCTGCTCAGACACCACCACCATGTTGCCAGCGCCTCTCCTAGTCTCTAACGATTCTCTTATTCCTCCAGCTCTTGGGTGCTCAGTCTCCACCGCTTCGCTCCCCTCCCCATGTGAAAGTCAACCAATAAAAAAAAGAACCCTGAAAAAAAAACCTCGCTATTGATGCTCTGGGTGTTTTAAATCGCACGAGGGGAGGGGCCCGGACCAGGGCCAGGGAGGGAGGGTGGCTGGGGCTTTGCTTGGGCTGCAACTTTTTTTTTTTCCAGACGACCGACTCCCCGGCTGCCCGCGGGCCGAGGTCAGTTCAGGCGAGGAGCCTCGGAGCGCGCCCTGTTCCGGGGCAGGAGTCCAGGGGCCTGGGGGTGGGGGGAGGGCCCGGGGCAGCCAGAGGCAAGGTCGGGGCGGGGCTCCCGTCTGCGGGTGCAGAGGTGGTTTTCTGGGGCGGGCTGGAGGCCCCGCGGTCTAGGAAGTACGGGGCGGGGGGGGGGGTGTTCCTGGAAAGAGGGGGAGGGGCGCCGGGAGCTGATGCTGTTCTAGGCTGGGGGAGGGGTGTCCCTGACCTCCCCACTCAGGGGACTCGGAGTAGCGGGGGGGGGAGGCTGGAGGAGGGTTTGGGGGGTGAGAGGGCAGATGCTGCCAGGGCGATGGGTTTGTCCCTGACCTCTCGAGTAGGGGGCTCGGAAGGACGAAAGGGGAGGGGGAGCAGATGCTGTTCTCGGCTGGAGGAAGGGTGTTCCTGACCATCCTGTGTAAGGGACCAGGAAGGGCTCGGAGAGGGGGTGGATGAGTGGGGGAGGATGTCCCGGCTGTCTCCTGGCTTACGGGGGCGCTTGGGGGGGGATGCCGCCCTCGACTTGGGGCGTCCCTGACCTCCCCGATGGAGGACTTGCAGGGGCACCTGGGGGGAGTTAGGAAAAGCTGCCCTTTCTCTGGAGCAAAGGCGCCCCCGACGTCTCCGGGCAGGGGGCTTACAGGGGCGTCTGGGGGGTTGTTAGGAAATGCTGCTCTGGGCCAGGGGTTACCCCCGGCCTCCTCGGACAGGGGGCTTACAGGGACGCCTGGCGGGGGTGGGGCGGGGGGCTCACAGGGGCGCCGGGAGGGGCTTCCCTGTCCCTGGGGCAGGGGCGCCCCGCGGTCTGGCTCTGGGCCCCCGCGGGGCGGGTCGCAGACAGCTGGCTCGGCCCCTCCCCCGCAGCCCCGCCGGGCGGGGAGGGGCGGGAGGGAACATCCTGTCTGCTCCGGGCGCACCGCAGACAGGCTCGCGCGCCAGCCGGCCAGACAGCGCGCGGGGCCGCGAGGCCCAGGGAGCCCTGCGGGCGGGGGAGGGAGGAGGGGAGCCGGGCGCGCGCGGCCCGGCGTCGGCGGCGCGCCGGGCGGGGAGCGCGGGGCGGGGCCAGAGCCACAATAGAACGCTGGGGCCGGGGGGCGCGCGCGGACGGCGGCGCGGCCCGCCCCTCCCCCCTCCCCCGCGGCCCCTCCCCCGGGCTGCCGGAGACGGCGGCGGTGGCGGCGGCGTCTGCGGGAAGCTGTGTCTCCGCAGTGACGTGGGCGGTCTGTGTGCCCGCTGACGTCAGAGGGCTGGCTGTGTGTAGCCATGGGGGGGGCGGGGGGTTCTGAGCGGCGGCGCCGGCGGAGACCGGGGGAGCCTCGGAGCGGCGGCGGCAGAGCCCGGGGGAGCAGCGCAGGTACGGCCCGGCCCGGCGCGGCGGGGCCCGCGGGCAGGGGAGCAGGCGGGGGGCCGGGGGCCGCGGCTGCACTTGACCTCGGCGCCCGCCGGGGATGCCCTCGCCTCGGCCGGGCAGCCGAGCCGCCCGGGTGGGGCGCGGGGGCCAGTCCGGACCAGGCTCTGCGGGCTTGGGCAGGGGGGGGCTTCCGCTCGTGTCGCCACCCCCCCCGCGTCCCCTCCGCCGTCCGCCCAGTTAGGGGGAGGGCGGCGAAGAGGGGCGCTGGGGACCACCGGGCTAGGGAGGGGGAGGGCTCCCACCCCCGTCTGCCCTGTCTTCCCTTCCCGGTCTTCCCTTTCGCCTGAGTCCACCTTCTCGAGTCTACCCCCTCCCCCCTGTCTGCCCCCTCCGGGTCCACCCCTCCCCCCGTGTCTGTCTCTTGATCTCCTCCCCCCCCCGCGTCTTCCCTCCCCCATCTCCGTCTGCCGCTCCCCTCCGGTGTCTTCCTCTCCCCACCCCCACCCCATCTTCCTCCCCCCTCCCCCCGTGCCCCCGCCCCGGCTTGAGTGGCGCCTAGTTCCCGAAGTGGGGGTAGCGACGGAAGGGGATAGAGATGTTGGGGTGGGGTGCGGAATGGCAAAAGGAGACTTCTGCCTCCGCTCACCTACGCTCCCTCCTCTGATGGTCTTTTTCCGTTCCCGGGTAGGGGGGATAGAGGGAGGGGGCTTGGGATGTCCCTCCCAAGGGACCCTCCCTGGAAGAGGCAGAAAGGGACTTTCACTAGTGTCTTCGCTCTGCCCGCACCCCATCTGCTGACCGATCCTTGACCAGCGAGCTCCGTTTAGTTTCAGGGGCCGCAGATAGGGAGAGAGGATGCGAGGGTGGGTGAGGAAAGGAAGGGGATTTCCACCCGTGTGTCCCCTTGTTTCCCCCCACCCCCACCAGCCTCCACCCTGTTAGAGGCTAGACTTGTTCCCCGGGGCGGACTGGCCGGGGGAGGGCTGGGGACGTCCCCGTCGGGTTGTGGAGGAGGAGGACTCCCACCTACCCACCCCAGCTCGATTCCTGGTGTCCTGCCTCCCCCACCCTTCCCTAGGGTTTTGAGATTGCGTGCTTGACTCCGCGTGGGTGTAAAGGACTTTGAGGGTTTGGGGAATCCCCCGTTCTCCAGGTGATTCCTCTTGCGCTTCGCTGTTTGAGTTGTCTCTCTGCGGTGGGGTTGAAGTCAGCGGGTTCCTAGTTCTCCTGCTGTCCTTCCTTTCGCTTGTTGAGATGGATGGAGTGAGTAGTTCGGGCAGCAGCGTCTCCTGTTCTCCACCCCCACTCCAATTTCTTTTCCTGAGAAGGAAGTTGAAGGAGGATTTCCCACCCCCTCTTTTCCTTTCCCCTTCCTCCATTTGCATTCTTTGTGAACAGTGTCTGCAACTGCTTTTTTTTTTTTGTCTCATATTAGCCTTGTTCAAGGTTAGAGGGTCAAAGGATTGGAGCATATAGTTAGTCCCTATTTGCAGCAGGCAAATTTTGTCACCTTGCGGATTTACCTACATTTAAAAAAAAATGAACCTTTGATTTCATGACGATACAAAAAATAATTCAGCTATACCAGGCAATTAATGCAAAAAAAAAATCAATGCGATTTGGATTAGACCATCAATATTTACCCACGAGAGGGTGAGTGCTGATTTGAACACTATTTTCCCCCTTTCCTGTAAGTACTTGGAGTTAATTCTTTCGAATGATATTAGGGAATGCAGTAAGTAAATTATTCTGGTTGTAATGGCAGTTGAAAGAGGCTCCCTAGTGATTAGCTTTGGGTGAGTTGATTCGAGTGAAGCCATTGTGTAGTTCTGTATATTGTGAGTTAGCCCCTGTACTGCCCACCAGATGTATCTCTGCCTCTGATTGCTCTGGACACCCTTTTCAAGCCACCTTCAAGTTTAAATTGAGGGTCTTCCAATGAAATTATTTAAATAAATAGCCACCAAATTAACTGATGTAAATAAATCATTAAAAAATATCACCCCTTGTAAATGAACTTGCTTCACCATTGAGAAGTTGCTTTCAAATGGAACCTTTGGTCCCATTGGAACACATTCAAATATAACTTTTCCTTGTCTCCACCCTCTCTTTTTTACAGATTAATTGAAAGGAGTTGCCCAAGGCGAAAATCCGGCAGATTTTTCTTTAGGTGCTGTTACTTCTGGTTGCAGAAATCCAGCTGGAGATATAGACAGTGGTCATCTCTACTGACATCACTGCAGGGCCAGTTATAGACAGCTTTTTATTTGTCTGCTAATGTAGACTGTCTTTTGGAGGAGTACATTTTTCCAGTATCCTCAGGTGAATTTTAAATTTATCTTCACTGTTAAAAACATTTTGACATGTGTGCTTCTCTTATATATGGCCACAAATACTGGCAAATATCTCTGATATTGTACTTTAGAAGAATGGAGTTGGGTCAGCGTATCTCAAAATGAGATAATTAATGACTTGAATTTTTTTTTAATAAATATACCTGAAGAATCCAGGAAGTAAGGTTTAATTAGACTTTAAAATGTGGTATGTACTTTATTCTTGGAATTTGAGACTAAAAGGTTAAATACTTTTATACTTCACAGTATGAAAGTGACAGCCACATTTTATTGAAGGAACTAAAGTGAAGGTGTAGGATCTCTTGAGTAAATCAAAGCTTTCTTTAAAAAGAGATGCTGTGACCGCGAGTGAAGCTACTTTAAACGTTGTCTTATTTTCTTGCAGAACAAACCAAACTAAGATGCGAATTTCCTACTTAATCATTTGAAGCTTAAACAGTTCAGCCATGGAAACTCTCCAAACTAGCTTCCCTTTGGTTCGGGGCTCCAGTAAAAAACGGAATGGGCTGAGAGATGAGGGCAGCCCTCCCATGAAAAAAATGATGACAGAAATGCATGTAAATGGGAAAGTGCTGATGGATACGTTACCAGCCGTAAAGAAGGAGAACATGGATGACTATGGTGAAGCTCCAATGGAGACAGATGGGGAAAAGGCCAAATCCAGCTGTAATTCAGTGTCTGAACCTTTACATTTAAATCCCAGTTTAAAGCACACACTGGCACAATTCCACTTAAGTAGTCAGAGCTCCCTGGGTGGGCCTGCAGCATTTTCAGCTCGTTATTCCCAAGAAAGCATGTCACCTACTGTATTCTTGCCTCTCCCGTCACCTCAAATTCTTCCTGGACCTTTGCTCATTCCTCCAGATAGTTCCACAGAACTTACTCAGACTGTCTTGGAGGGGGAATCGATTTCTTGTTTCCAGGTTGGAGGAGAAAAGAGACTGTGTTTGCCTCAAGTCTTGAATTCTGTGCTCCGGGATTTTTCACTCCAGCAAATAAATACTGTGTGTGATGACTTGTACATATATTGTTCGAGGTGCACCTCGGAACAGCTTCACATCCTGAAGGTCTTGGGAATCCTTCCGTTTAATGCCCCATCCTGTGGGCTAATCACACTCACTGATGCTCAAAGACTGTGCAATGCCTTGCTCCGTCCACGTACCTGCCCTCAAAATGGTAGCATGCTTCCTGCTAAAAATTCCTTGGCCCAGTTACAAGAAACTGGCAGGGCCTTTGAGGTGGAACATGAGTGCTTGGGCAAATGCCAGGGCTTATTTGCGCCCCAGTTTTATGTTCAGCCCGATGCACCATGTATACAGTGTCTGGAATGCTGTGGAATGTTTGCACCCCAGACGTTTGTGATGCATTCGCATAGATCCCCTGACAAGAGGACCTGCCACTGGGGCTTTGAATCAGCCAAATGGCCTTGCTATCTCCACGTAAACCAAAAATACTTAGGGACACCAGAAGAAAAGAAACTCAACAGTCTTTTAGAGGAAATGAAGGAGAAATTTAGTGTCCGGAGTGGAAAGAGAGCTCAGTCCAAAGTAAGTGCTTTCATTCTAGCATTTAAAAAGGCACCCGTTTGTTCTGATTGGAAGTGGGATACATATTTTTCTAGAAGTGCATTGATTATTTCAGAATCAAAGAGCCTTTTAAGATTGCATTTGGTAGATTTTAGAAATGTAACTTGATGCATCTTAAGAAGCCGTGAAGTGGTTATAAATGTAGCCAAATGAGAGAATATCATTACTTCATGTAGATAAATGGAAGCTAACTGTGCTGTTTCTGTGATTCATGATCATTTACTTTTAAGCATTAGCTCCTTTTGCAAATGGGATAAATGAGCCACAGAGACATCTCGTGGTTTGCCCCAGTTGGCATTTTTGAGTGACACACCAATGATTTTTGGCATCATTTCCCTACTGGACTATTCAGATGTTATGGTCTTTGAAATGTGATGTAGAAAAAAAATTTGTCTGAAGGACTTGTGATTCCAGTATCAGAATAATTGAATGTTTTATAGTAACTGATTTTTTTAAAAAGACTGTATTTACTATGGTATAGGGTAATCTAAATAGGAAAAATGAGCAAAAAAAATAGAAAGGGATAAATTTAGATAAAGCAGTAGGAAAGGGGGGAAAAACCCTTTGTGATAATGATGCTGATAAGGTTAGTTTTCCAGTCCAGCCCCTGCACATTTTAAACAAAGCTATATGTTTCCCTCCCTAAACTAGCTTTCTTAATTCATATATAACCCTCTTTTTTTGAATGTCTTAGTACTTCGTTCTGGTGGGCAAATTGATTGAAATTGATTGAAAGCAGTAAATCATGTTTCACCTGAAAATCTTTGGTCACAATAGTAGCTATTTAGCTCTTAATTCTTCAAAACATCCCTGAGTGTTCCTTTTTTCCAGAAGAAGAAGAAAATGAGACACAGATGAACTGACTGCTTGAAGGTCACAGGGCATGTAAATACTAGTATATAGTAAGGAACGTAACTAGGAATAGACTTTTGATTTCTTGCCCTGAGCATGAAAATATTGCCCTTTAAAGATATGAGAATTATGTTATCTGCTCAGTTCTGGTGATATAAAATGAAAGAGAAGATTTGCTTTTGCCAGGGTGTATTACTGTGGACTGTTTAAATCAGGTAGGTTTGGAAGTGTTGTTTCCTGCCTGGCTCCCAATAGCACAGTACCTGGCATATAGTAGGTGCTAAATAAATGCTTGTTTCCTGCTCCTCTGTAAAGTAAGTCACTCCTGAAGTTGTGGTTCATTGCCATATTCCCGTAGGGGTAGGCTCAGGTTTTTTTTTTCCTTTTTAGCAAAGTGACACTTCACATCTTCAGTTTTTCAGATTTACACACAATTTTGCTTACCTTCGTACGAGTTACCTCACTTATAGAAATTGTATATGTATGTGAAAAGAACCCCTCCTTTTTATATGAATGATGTCCCACCTGTAAACAAATGAGGGTAAAGATTGACCTTTCTGATGACATCCTGGTTCTGCCGTGGAATTTGTGGTGCTTATTGTGTTAAAGGTCTATAGGATAGGAAATGTTAGAACCCTGGGGGAAAGGAAGATATGTTTCCTTGCATATGCTTAGCCCAAACTAAAGGAATAAAATGATGTGGGAATGTCTTTTGGTTTTATTAAGGTTAAAACTCATCTGCAGTCTGTGATGTGGTTCTGTTATAAAGGCCATATACATAGTAAATTGGAATATTGTGCACCCCAGAGGGTTCTAGTTAGATTCGTTAATTACATTTAAGTAACTTGAAAATTTGCAAGATTCTTTAAATACCTGGCCTCATTTGAGCCTGACAGTAACGCTTGGTGGCTAGATACCCTCAGATGAAGAAGCTTGCAACTTGAGAGATCAGGGTGTTGTCCAGGGTCACCCAGTGGCTCAGTGTCAGAGTTAGAATCTGAGCTCAGTCTGGTCCCTGGACCCTAAGCTCAGCACTGTATCTACACTACCTCCCTGCTCTCTTGCTTATATTTGTATTTTTCAACAGTTTTCAGAAAGCAGAAGATATTGTAATAGGAAATCTTAGGAAAAAAAAACAAATTTGAAAAAGCAACTGTGTTAGACCCATTAGTAGCCTTTTAAATTCATCTAAGTATGTTTTTTTTTTAAGCTGTGTATAAGTATGTGTAAAGATTTCACCTGAAGCCAGGAAGACCCTGACACTTTGTAGTCTGGTTAATTTCTTCAATCCTCTGAATGTTCTGAGATACTTTGTAAGTTGTAGAGGAGGTGCTGACTATTTTGGTGGAAGGAATTGTCTCTCATGGGAATTCCTTATACCAGTGAAATCACAGGTCCAGTCCCCTAATCCTATTAGCATGAATGTAAGCCTAAAATATATAGACATCTTAGAATGGGCTAAAAAGGAAGTGCTTGGCTGGCCTAATGCATTTTCTGTTTCTAACAGTATATAGGTACACATTATAGTGAGTTGGCTGCTTCTGAATTCCCAAACTCAACTCAAACTAATCTGTTTAATACACACACACACACACACGTGTGCTTGGGCATGATATGACCAAAAACAAACACCTTTCTGCCTTCATGTTTTAACAATGTCTTTCATGTATTAATATCTATTATATAGATAGAATTATATTTATTTTGTAAGCCAAAACAATTGGTAATTTAATTTGTGTTTATATAGCTGAAGCTTTGTTCTCTAGATTTTATTTAAAAAAAAAAAGGTTTAAAATTAATAGACTGTTGCCCCTTGTTTCATGGAACTGAAGTAATCCTGATGAGGAAAAAGCAAAATGGCACCCTTGTTTCTGATACGCTTTCCTTTACTTGGAAAAATTGTTGATATTTCTAAATAATTTAAAGTAAAATAAGAAATACAAGGAGGTGCATGCAGTGAAGATGAATGTCTAGGGACAGAACTTCCAAGGTCCTGAATATTTTCGTGATTGTAGTGAGTAAAATCCTAGACTTTGGGGATATATTTTTTAAAAATTATTTTCCTGCTACCTTTAAATGACTAAGAGTGTACTTCTAAGTTTGTCAATGAAAAATTATTTGCTGTGAAATCTACTTGGATGGATTTTTTCCCCCTGTTGCTTCCTGTAAATTAAAGCTATTCTCCCCCTCCCTCTTTTAATGGTTTGGTTAGAACTGACCACTGGTTACTTAGAGCACATACAAATAGTAAGCATATATCTTGTTGCCCTTTTAAAATTATATGGTAAATCCTGTTGCTTTAGAGTATTAATTCTTTAATCAGTCAGAGGTTGAAATCAAGTTTGCCTCTGTCTTATCTGAGAGAAAGGTTATAAATAAGCATATTAAACATAGATTTTGTAATGTTGACATTAAGGGACATTTCCTAATTGTGATTTTTCATGAATTTGTTTTGGTTCCCCCCTTACACCCACAGGATTAGTGAGGTTTTTGGGGAAAAAAAAGCAAAGAGGCTAAAATGATGATTAATCTTCTTATTTTGTAACATTTTCTAAAATCTAACTTTTAAAAAAATGTCTACTACAATCTTTGCTTTGCATTTTCTTTATCAATAATCATTACTCCTTCAGGAGATAGTGCAAAATCTACACCTATTTCCCTTCTTGAAACTCTTGACCTTTTTGGTGTGTGAAATAACATCCTTGCCAGTGGAACACAGATTTTCCTCACAAGTTTGCTAGTTGGTAAAAATCGGTTGTCTGGGTAACTCCATACAGTGCTACACTAAAATGTATTTTAACTAGTATTCTTATTAAGTATCATTAGCTAATATTGGCCGTTATTTGCTATATCACTTGTAGTAAGTTTTTACTCTTCCAGAAAATTGTTACTATTTCATAGTAATACTATTTCATAATTCATAGTTTCATACTTGTTAACTATTTCATAGATAAATTGGGGTAATTGAGGATGAGGTATCCAGTAAGTTGATGGCGGTGAGATAGGGAACATGGGCCCACATGAGGGACACATGGGAAAACATTTTTAGAACCTTAAATTGAGCTTATGTGTTGGCATGAGATAATACAGGTGAAAATGAAAGCTCTGTTACTAAAATGTAACTTAGGACTTAGCCAACTGTCCCCATAATGATGAATGGAAACGCAGGGTTTTCAGAGAGTGGAAGGGGGCCTTAAAGGTTCAAATGTAGCATGTCTTCTTTTTGTATAGATAGTAACAGTTAAGTCCTTAAGTAGTTTGACTGAAAGTATGCCAGAAAGCTGTTGACTACAAGTGTGATAGAAGAATTAGAAACTGTTGCCATTTTCTGCTGGACTTCAGTGACTTGGAACTTGCTGGTTAAGAGGTTTGATTATTGGGCTGAAAATTTGGAGTAATCCAGACCTGCTTCGGGGTAAAGTAATGGTTTCAGTCTACCTGGCGAAGGAGAACCTTTTGGCTGAGCATCTTAACAGAGCTGAGGCCAGTTACGATTGTCCCTTTGCTATTGCACCAGTGGTCCGTGCTTCCACTCGTGGCATTTGGAAGAACGGCTGTGGGTCAGATGTTTAGAAGTGGTTTGGGAGTAGTGCCACCTTACGGCTTAAGAAATAAGGCTTTCATCACAAGTTGGCTTCCCCTCCTAAAAAAAAAAAGGATTTTTGAAAGCAGTAGAGGCAAAGTCAAACTATTTATCTGATATATAAATGTTTCACTGGGCGTGGAAATGAGAGGAGAGTAAAAAGAGGGGAAATGTAGAGTATTTGTCTTGGGTAAAAGGCAATCTTTCCTGGGTGGCATCTTAACCTTGTGTAACCAGAGAAAAGTACTTTGTTAGCTGTGTGTGCATTGATTGGTTATGTATCTGGAAAAACTAGGGAAGGTGTAAAGAATTTCAGTGATTTCAGTTCCATTAGAGTCTGTTTGTGGGTCAGGGACGTGAAGTCATTTCTGAGTAAAATGTTAATGAACTGTGATAAACTCCATTTAAGGATCAAAAATAGCTTAAATCTACATTTAATCTTTATTCAGAACATTATTCCATATAGATAAACTCTAGAATAATAATTTGGGCTCAGAATGTTAAAAAAGCAATAAAGACAAAATCA